CCCACATGGCAAGCTCCAGGACAGTGAAAGACCCTATCTCAAAAAACAAGGTAGGGGCTGGAGAGATGGCTCAGCAGTTAAGAACACAGATTGTTCTTGCACAAGATCTGGGTTCGAATTCCAGCACCCACATGGCAGCTAACAACTGTCCATAACTCCAGTTCCAGGGGATCCAACAGCCTCTTCTGTCTTCCCAGAGCATTGCACGACACAGGTGCACTTACCTACATGCAGGCATAACACACATACACATAAAATAACAAAATATTGCCGGGCGTGGTGGCACACGCCTTTAATCCCACCACTTGGGAGGCAGAGGCAGGTGGATCTTTGTGAGTTCGAGGCCAGCCTGGTCTACATAGTGGGTTCCAGGACAGCTGGGGCTACAAGAAGACCCTGTCTCAAAAAAGACAAAAAATTTAAAAAATTAAAAAAAAATAAAATATTTTTTAAAAATTTCAGTGGAGGTAAGGACTGTCAGTTAGCATTTGATGATACTTTTACATGGGGTCCTCTTAAGGAAAATTTACCACTAAGTCTGAAGCTGGAACATCGCTGGAATAACTTTTAAAAAGAAACATAGCCGGGTGTGGTAGCGCACGCCTTTAATCCCAGCACTTGGGAGGCAGAGGCAGGCGGATCTCTGAGTTCAAGCCCAGCCTGGTCTACACAGTGAGTTCCAGGACAGCTGGAGCCATAGGGAGACCCTGTCTCAAAAAGACAAAAAGAAAAAAAAAACATAATACATGATTCTTTAGATTTTAGTATGTGTGTTAAAAATTGGGAACAAGTTGAAATGTTTGTTTACTGGTCCTCAACCAATAAAATCTCAGTATGAAAGAAAAAATAAAAATAAATAAAATCAGGGGCTGGAGAGATAGCTCAGTGTTTAAGAGCAATAGCTGTTCTTGCAGAAGACCCGGGTTTGAATCCCAGTACCCACATGGCAGCTAACAACTGCCCATAAAATAAAAATAATACATTTTTTAAAAAATTAAAATAATACATTTTTTAAAAGAGAAACAAGGTAGAAGTTTCCTGAGGAACAACACTTGATTGTTCGCTGGCCTCCACACACAAACATGTACACGTGCGTGCACATGTATATACACATACAAATATCCCACCCTCAGAATTGACAGCCTATGACTTATGAATGGATCCATCCAACTCAGAAGCTTAAGGCTTTCAATCAACTGCACTTTAAAGCCATCTAGTAATTCCAAGGAGTCTTCAGTTTTCTGGGACCCAAATAAACATTCTATTTGCTTGTACAAAAGCCTCAAAGAAAGTCTCATTTCTCCATACAATAGGTGACTTAATCTGGTCACAGTGAAGTGCTGCAACCTCGCAGCACAATGCAGACCTCAGCATCTCCAGGGATGCTGGCATCAGGCAGGAGGCTGAGAGTGACTCTGCAGGGCACTGATTACAAACTCAGCCCTGAGATGTTCACGTGCAGGCAGCTGCTTCCAGGCATGGCCTCCCTGTTCCCATCCCCCAAACCACATCCACATTCTATACAACCACAAGGTCAACCTTCTACCTACTATCAGGAGGACTGGTGAGAGCTCAGCCAGTAAAGGCACTTGCCACCAAGCCTGATGACCTGAGTGCAATCTCCAGATGGTAGAGGGGAAGAACAGACTCTTGCAAGTTGTTCTCTGACCTCCATACACACACACACACACACACACACACACACACACACACACACACACAAATGTAATTAAGTAAATAGACAAAACAAAAGTAATTTTAAGAGTATTATTTATTATTTTTAATTATGTGTATGTGTGTGTTTGCAGGGCACCTATAATACAACCCCTACACCCAAGGTTCAGGAAATACCTCAGGAAAGGGTGCAGAAAGATTGTAAGAGCCAGAGGACCAGGAAGAATGCTGTGAAATACTGTCTTCTGGACACGACAGGGATGTTGCACCCATGGACTTGCAACAGTATGGTTCCCTGCACAACACCTGCACAAGACAACACCAGTCAACATTCCACCATGGATGGGGGAAGGGGCTCTCAAGACCTGCCCCTTGTTGAAGAACTACTAACTTTCCTCCCTGCTAAAAGAAGAAAAGTCCGTTTTCTTCATAGACGAGCCCCCTAATATGGGTCTAGTGCCCCAGTGGTCAGTTCTGCATCCAAGTACATATGGGAAACACTAGCTGGACTCAGTATTTATATATGCGTGTGTGTGTGTGTGCGTGTGTGTGTGTGTGTGTGTGTGTGTGAATTATTAGGTTTTGAGGGCACAGAATCCAGGAACAATACGAGAGAAAGGAGACCATACCTGAACTGAGACAAGACTGAGTTTATTAAAGTACCTCAGCGGACAGCAGCCTTCCTGCATGCTAGAAGTGACTACTGACCTGACGGAGGGGCTATTGGGGCTTATATAAGACATAGCTTTGGCTGGCTGACTACGTGCAGATCAGGAGTACTCTCGAGATGTTTATGGCCCTGTTATGCCTCCCCCGACATACACACCTTCTTCCTGGTTTATCTTGAGAGATAGGGGGTTTATGATCTCTCCTTGGGACAAGGAGACAGGCTGTCTTGGGAAACAGGCTGTGTCTCAACAGTCCTCCCAGGAGGGAGGGAAGTGGCTGATTGATAATGTGGCTTTCTGTAGGCTTTCTGCAACAAGGCATTCTATAACGGACAAGGAAAGAGTTGAAGAGAGGAGGGAGGGTGTGTATGATAGAAAGACATTGTACTTATGTATGAAATTCTTTTAAAAGCAACTAAAAACATGTAATTAATTTAAAAATAATAAGGAATGAAAGAATTCTTTTCTACTTGGGAAAAGAAAGGAGAAATGGGAAAAAAGAGAGTTAATGGAGGGTTAATATGGTCAAAGTACATTATATACATTTATAAAAATATCTTTAGGAAGTCTGATATTTTATACAAATTGTATACACTAATTTAAAAATCGTAGTGTGTTAAGTTTGGCCTAAAACTGTTTCCATACATGCTTCGAGTTTGGCTTAAAGGTTTCTCCAAACATAGAAAACTGCAACCCAGCTTAATGGGTACACAAAGTGCAACCTACTCCTATAACCAGTAGCTGAACTTGGCCTCAGACAGAGAGCCATTCCTAAAATTCTGCAGGCTGCCCTACCTAACTTACTTGGATTCCTGGGCTCTACATGACCACAGGTCAAGGCCATAGGGCATCAGACTTTAGGCCTACAAACTTGGATGTGAAACCTCATCAGTTCCTCAACTGAGTCTCTCCTGTCAGATGACTATAGGCTACATTAAGTTGACAGAGTTAACTAGGACAGATATCTCAGGTGAATCCTTTCCTCCCCATAAGGATTCAATAACAAAGTTTGCCGACGGAGTGCCCTTTCTAGAAACTGGGGAACCTTGGGGTGTAAATACTCATAATTGTTGTCATTGGCTCTGCTTACCGGATGCCTGGAAGATGCCCATGTTCCTCTGGGATCCAGAGGTCTGAATCAGGAGTGTCAATACAAAAATCTCACCTCTCACCTCAAAGGGAGTGATAGTTTATTCTAGAGCCAAAAAAAGTGACAGTGGTCTAGGAACACAGATTCAGGTTACCCCAAATACTATATTCCAATGAGGTAACAGTCTTATGAAGTTTTTACAGTAACAGAATGAGGAAACTTATAAATCAAGGCATTTTCAAATATAGTGGTGGGAACATCAGGTAAGTTGCTTACAGCAAAGCGAGGGAGCTCAACCTTAGGCCTCAGATGCTGTCCGATGGTATTCTTAGCCTTTGGGGTCTGTTTGCACATTTCAAAACATGATTTTATGTCCAAAGAGGATGTTAAAGTCATAATTTCTCACAGGGGTGGGAAATAAATGGCTATTTAAGGAGCTAAAGATACCCCAACACAAGTCGGCTCTGCACCTATAATGTTCTAAGCCACAATCGCACTTCTCACCAATCCGTCAGCCTTGTAGAGTCTTTTTAAAACAGTTGTGCCTTTTTTTCTGGGAATTTCAGTTAAGTTTACAAGTGGGACCTGGACAGATTCAGACCCCTTCCAGGCAAGGCTCAGCAATCCCATGCTCCCTTCTGCCTGAAATTCAGATTAGATTTCCCTGGACGAAGTGCGCCCTCCACCTCAAGCATCTTCTCATGTAGCTCTGAGGATTTCATCTGAAGGGAATCAACTTGCTAAGTGGAGACAGAAGCTAATGCTCTGTTACAGTTTTTCTACACACCTCATTTATCCTGACGGAGAGCTAATGCGATATTTTAAAAGTTAATATTGTAATATGCATCTCCATTAGCATGCCAAGGGGAGGCTGTGAGCTGAATAACAGCGGACTTCAAGGACTCAGAGAAAGGACAGGATTTCAAGAGCATCCCAGGAGAGTAGGGACAGGAAGAAGAAAGTGAAGCTTGGGCTGGAAGTGCTAGAGAGAGCTGTTCCAGAGCTTTCCTACACAGAAGAGTCTTGTGCTCTCATTACATCGGCAACACAACCTTAAAGTCCCCCTATCCTTGGGGGAAAGCCTTTCTCCGCAAATGCTACAATGAGCAATTCTCAAAATTGTCTTTTTTAAAGGTTTTTTTATATGTGAGGGAGGCTGGAGACATCACCCAGTAGTTAAGAGCACTGGCTGCTCTTGCAGAAAGGAGCCTGTTCAGTTCCCAGCACCCACCTGATGGCTCACAACCTACAATAACTCCAGTTCCAAGGGATCCAACACCTTCTTCTGGCCTCTGTGGGTATTACATACATGTGGTATACTTACACACATGCAGACAAGACATTCATACACATAAAATAAAAACAAATAATTTTTTTTTGTCTTTTTGAGAAAGGGTCTCCCTGTAGTCTCAGCTGACCTGAACTTACTATGTAGACCAGGCTGGCCTTGAACTCACAAGGATCCACCTGCCTCTGCCTCCTGAGTGCTGGGATTAAAGGTGTGTACCACCATGCCCGGCTAAAAACAAATAAATTTTTAAGGAGGCTGTGGCATTGCTCCAGTCAGAATGATCCAGGTGGTTTGTAACAACCACCTCGAGAAGAAAGAGTGCATGAAGCACAACACTGATGACACCATTGGGGACTTGAAGAAACTGATCGCAGCCCAGACTGGCCCTCCTTGGAATAAGGTAGTGCTGAAGAAGTGCCACACAGATTTTAAGGACCACATGTCTCTGGGAGACTATGAAATCCACAATGGAATGAATCTGGAGCTTTGTTACCAGCAGAGCTCATTCCTCCCAGCTCACCCGTCTCCCGCAACCCTGCCCTCCCCTCCACCCTGATCTGACACACTGTATGGATGCCTGTTTTTAACAAGTCATATAAATAAAAAATTGTATGCTGAAAAAAAAAACTTTTTAAGAAAATTGTGTGTGTGTGTGTGTGTGTGTGTGTAGTGTCTGAGGACATCAGATCCCCTGGACCCAGAGTTACAGGTGGTTGTGAGCTGCCTGAAGTGGGTTCTGGGAAATGAACGTGGGTCCTCTGCAAGAGCAGCTAGTGCTTTTAACTGCTGAGCCATCTCTCCAGTCCCCAAAGTGCATTTTAATACCAGAAATATTCCAACAGGGAAGAAAACACTGTGGATGCCCATGGGGAGGGTGTGGCAGGGTTCATTTCTGCTGTTACATTAGGGGAATGGAGAAGGGGACAGACTAGTTTGCAAGAAAAGTGTCTCTCCTCTTTAAATGCATGCATATTATAGTTTGTTATTTCTTCCCCCTCCCCATAGTCACTGAGCTAAGCCTCATTGCTTAGGAAGGGAAAGGAAAAAAAAGCTAGAGCTTGCTAACAATAGCCCATAATTACTTTGTAAATGGTTTCCTGGAGTAATTATGCCATTAGTGCAAGAGACTTCCACTTCAAAGGTTTCTTTGCTCCATGCCATCCCATTGGACTGGCAATGAGAGACCTCCCAGGAGCCAGAAAGAAAGACCAGAGCTGCAGAAACAGGACTTACAGATGTTTCTCTTAGCTTGTCTATTGTCAGACCAACCATCCCTGGAAACAACACCTCCCCGTGGGAAGAGAGGATGTTAACGCAGAATTTCCAAAGGAAAAGAGATTAGCACTGAGACTTAGGAGAAAGCTCCTTAAGGGAGCTGCCACCTCTGGATTTCTGGAACCTCAATAACCATTTTAGCTTTGCTAATCTGCTTGATGTGACAGGCTGGGGTCACATGAAGGTCAGCCCAGCCCACGGTTAATAGAGGCAAATGGCATGGCCTTCTGTGATTCATTAAACCATCCTAGCAGGAGGAAGATATTTTAAAGAGGGTCCATGAGATGGTGGTTAGAGGCTGCCAGGCCTGGTGACAAAAAATTTAACATATTCTAAGGCGATACCTGTGTTACTCCCTTTGGCTGTCAGTCTATTGAAACAATGGTCCCCTAGAAACTGGCATTTCCTGAGGAGTCTCATGCTGGGAGAACGAAGAGCCTAGAGCCAGGTGCAGGCAGAGTGGGAACTTGTCTCCCAGGAAGAGTTCTCACACAGTTCTGAAGGTCAGCCCAGCCCACGGTTAATAGAGGCAAATGGCATGGCCTTCTGTGATTCATTAAACCATCCTAGCAGGAGGAAGATATTTTAAAGAGGGTCCATGAGATGGTGGTTAGAGGCTGCCAGGCCTGGTGACAAAAAATTTAACATATTGTAAGGAGATACCTGTGTTACTCCCTTTGGCTGTCAGTCTATTGAAACAATGGTCCCCTAGAAACTGGCATTTCCTGAGGAGTCTCATGCTGGGAGAACGAAGAGCCTAGAGCCAGGTGCAGGCAGAGTGGGAACTTGTCTCCCAGGAAGAGTTCTCACACAGTTCTGTCTGGGTATAGCCCTTCCTCGGTGCCCTCGGGGTCTGGGTATAGCCCTTCCTCGGTGCCCTCGGGGTCTGGGTATAGCCCTTCCTCGGTGCCCTCGGGGTCTGGGTATAGCCCTTCCTCGGTGCCCTCGGGGTCTGGGTATAGCCCTTCCTCGGTGCCCTCGGGGTCTGGGTATAGCCCTTCCTCGGTGCCCTCGGGGTCTGGGTATAGCCCTTCCTCGGTGCCCTCGGGGTCTGGGTATAGCCCTTCCTCGGTGCCCTCGGGGTCTGGGTATAGCCCTTCTGTGGTGCCCTTGGGCAGCCACCTAAGGGAACTCTTTCATCTGTGCTGCACTCATTCTTTTCCTGCAGAAAAGGATCTGTTTGAGAGCTTAAGAAGTGAAGAGGATGTCCTTGGATAAGTATTGTTTAAAAGAAGGATTGAAGAGAGGACAAAACATTAAGATGAAACTTGAAGCATTTGATTAACCCTGAGCATTATTGGGAAGTGGTGGAAACTTTAAGATTTGGGGCCTTGGGAGCTGAATGGCTATCTCAGTGGTGATGAGTGCTTGCTGCTCCTGTAGAGGATTAGAGTTCAGTTCCCAGCACCCACATGAGGCCAACCACCTGTAACTCCAGCTCTGGGGGATCTGGCACCCTCTTCTGGCCTCCTCAGCACGTATAATCACATGCACATGCCAACACACAGACATCCATACATTTAAGTTTTTAAAATAAATAACTCTTTTTTTAAGATTGAAGTATGAAAGAAGCCAGCTTGAAGAAGACAGGAGACCCTCCCTCACCTGAACTTCTCTAAGAAGCAGGATGAGGTGACAAGGATAGGTAAGGACAATAAAGATCCTATAAGGTGCTAGACACTTTATGGCTGAGACTTTAGGGGCTCTTTCTTCAGCTCATAACCCACCCCATTCTTGGGAGTATTTTTCTTTACAAGCTCTCTATTTCTATTTCTGACCACATCTTTTCCCATAGGACACACGAGCCTGGGATCCGGGAACCTTCTGAACCCAGAACCTCTGGGCTGGGTATTTATAAGCATGTTTTCCTTCATGCTCTGTGCTTTCTCACTGATCTCTGGCCTTTATGGCTAAATGTTCGGATACCTGTGTCTCATCTCCCCCAGTATTCTGGTTCAGGGGCTCTGAATAAGTCATGTAATGTGCATTTGTTTCTGTGTGTGTATATGTGCATGTGTGTGGGTACATGTTCGTGTGTGTGATTGTGGGTGCATTTGTGCTATAGTGGGCTTATGAAGGTCAGAGGACAACCCTAGGTGTTGATTCTCACCTTCCATCTTGTTTGAGACACCCAGAGTTAGTTAACCCATGACCTTTTGGGGAGTCAACCATCTGACTGTAGAGTGCTTGGGTTACAGAAGTGCCCTACCATGGCCAGCTTTTAGGATTCTTGGATCTAAACTCAGCTGTCAGGCTTTTATATAAAACTCTTCACCCACAGAGTCATCTTCCCAGGCCTGAATGTTCATCTTTAATAAGTAGGTGGTAACTTTGCTGTGAATGGTTCTGAGGAAAACTGCCTCACCCCCTGGGGCCACTCATTATGACTTGTTAATTTAACTTTGCAGCCTTTTCATTACCTCTAAGAGCAATCCTATTTGAGGCAATTTAGTAACTGTTTGCAGATGGGTGATACATGAGACTTTTCCTGGGAGATGCAATGCACACAGATACAGAGAGGGAGAGAAAAGGAGAATACTCACCCCAAAGAGGGAACCCAAGACAAACCAAAGTAATTCTGCCACAGAAGCAATGTGAGGTCAGAAATGAAGGAAAGGGCATCCCTAACTTGCAGCATCCCAGACCCAGAGGAGAAGGTAGGCTGAAGTAAGGATCTTATGAGCACAGAGGAGGTCGCAGGCTCTGTTAGAGGCAAGACAGCCAGTTTCAACAGGGATAAAATAGGAGGATTTGATGGTTTGAAAGTCTGTTAAGGGGCTGGAGAGATGGCTCAGTAGTTAAGAGCACGTACTGCTCTTACAAATGACCTGAGTTTAGTTCCCAGCACCCATATTGGGTGGCTCACAACTGCCTGTAACTCCAACTCCAGAGGATCTAATACCCTCTCCTCTGGCCCCTGTAGGTACTACACTCACAACTGCATGTACTCACACAGACACACAGAGACACACATACAACACACACACACACACACACACACACACACACTTTAAAATTTAAAATAATATCTTTTAAAAGAGAATCTGTTAGAAATTTCACCCCCAAGCAGCAGATTGTATTAACAGGTGGGACCTGTAGAGGCAATTGACATATGTATTAGTCACTTTTCTGTTGCTGTGATAGAAACACTGACCAAAGCAATTTATAGAAGGAAGAGTTTATTTGAGCTTACGGTTCCAGGGGAATTACAGTCCATCATGGTAGGGAGGCATGGTGGCTGGAAGTAGCTAGAGTAAGAGCAGCAAAAGCTAAGCTCTCACATCATCACGCAGGCGCAGGAAGCAAGAGAGCAACTGGAGATCCAGCAAGCCTTAAGAACTCTCTAAGCCTGCCCCCAGTGACGTGCTTCGTCCAGGTTAGCCACACCTTCTAAGACTTCCCAAAACAGTGCCACCAACTGGGGAAAACATGTCCAAAAAAATGTCCAACTACTTGGAGCTTATGGGGGACATTTTCATTCAAACCACCACAGCATATTAATGTAATTAGCCATAGGTTATCGGGGAGCTTTCTGTGTCCTTCTGGTGGTAGGTCCCATTTCATCTGTAAACTCTCCTGCCTTAGCCTCCTGCTGCTAAATAAGAACATCGTAGGCAACTTACACACATTTACCTACATGCAGGCAATACACACATGAGTATGAGTGTTATGCCTGCATGTAGGTAAGTGCACCTGTGTCGTACAATGCCCACCGAAGACAGAAGAGGCTGTTGGATTCCCTGGAACTGGAGTTGTTAGCTGCCATGTGGGTGCTGGGATTCAAACCTGAGTCATCTGCGAGAGCAATCAGTGTTCTTAACCGCTGAGCCATCTCTCCAGACCAATAAAATATTTTTTATAAAATTTAGGTGTATGAGTGTTTTGCCTGCATGTATATAAGTGCACTACATACATGAAATGCCCATAGAGGACTAAACAAGGCATCAGATCTCCTGGAACTGGAGTTATGGACAGTTGTTAGCCACCATAAGGTTCAGCCCTGGGAACTGAACCCAAGTCCTCTTCAAGAGCAGCCAGTGGTCTTAACTGTTGAACCACCTCTCCAGAACCGTGTGTGTGTGTGTGTGTGTGTGTGTGTGTGTGTGCGTGCGTGCTTGTGTGTGTGTTGTTTTTGTGAGATAAGACTCTCTCACTGAATCAGGAGTTCACAAATTGGGCAAGATTGGCTGAACAGCAAGCTCCAGGGATCCACCTATCTCTGTGCTGGGATTACAGACATGCACCACAATGTCCAGCTTTTTACATGGGTGCTGGGGATTC